AAAGCCATAAACTGTACAAGATCGAAAAAGTATTCAAAATAGTTGAACATATTTTGTATACTCTTTAGGTTTTATTGTGCTGCTGATTAAAGCTCATTCTTTTAGTTTGGCTCCCCTTGGTTAAGCTATTTTTTATGCTATTTTGTTTTTTTTTCATTCATTTCAATAGAAGCTCGGCTTTTCATAATTAAAAAAAAAAACCCTTTAGCATTTGTAACTGYTGAAATCAAGGAAAGTTGCTCTACTACCTTCATAATACCGTGAATTTCTTGAAATATTGTACACATTGCACCCAACAGCAGAATTGGCTCATGATCCTTTGTTCTGTATTTTATGTAGGTATGATTATTCTAGCTATGGACAATCAACTGGAAATGTACGGTGTCGTTTCTCCRTTCGTTCTAGTTTGTAAATTTATTTTAGTATTGTCTAMCAAATATCTATTTATTTTGGATGTTTTTTCTAAGGAAGTAACAAGTAATGAGTTAATGTCATGACGTAGTTGTGCTTTGTTATTTATAATTATATAGGTTCATTTTTCATGTTTTGGTGCTCGCTTATTTTASGACTATTAGCTAAGCCTACTTCTCATCCACCTTTAATGCTTAATGGAGACTGTTGGTTTGTTCATCTACTGAAGTGCATATAAAAATTTGCTAATTTTCRACTTATAAGTACATCAATTTTAGTAAATAGTTAATACTTTGTGTGTTCACTGCTAAATATAATTTTTTAATTAGATTGTTTTCTTTCAACTCTGATACATTCTTATGTCTGGACTAATAGGTTTGAGTATGTAGCTGAGCGTATAGCTGTTTTGCACATGAACTTCATGAAAATGAATTCATTCCCTTTGCACTTATTTCAATTGGATAATTGTGTGGCTATCCTGCAGCAAAGATAGCCAATTAAGACTTAGTGTTTATATCTGTGTCATGCATATAGTTTAAAATCTAGGTTGATAATTGTGTGGCTATTCTACAGCAAAGATAGCCAATTAAGATTTGGTGTTTATATGTGTTATTACGTAATGCATGTTGGAGCTAGAAAGATAATGTGGGAGTTAATATTAATATTTTCTTAATTGTTCGTTTTATTTTGTTGAAAAGGAGTAGCTTGCGGGAGCAATATTTTGAGAAASGAGAATGTATARGGAAGAGTTTCGGCGTATTTTCAACATGTACGAGGTTGATGTAATGTGAATATAGTTCGTTGGRCATTCTCTTATTGTAGTCATAGACTTATAGTATATAGTATTTGTATAAAATATCCTAATGTACARATTTGATCAGACTTTGATCATATTATATGCAACTTTGTTACATTTTATAATTTACAGATATAGATAATTTTTTTGAAACGTGTATAGTGTTATTAAATGTATTTCATGGCTATTATGAAATTGTCATATATAAACTTTTATTGACATTACAAACCTTTATTAAACACAAATTGTGACAAAAAAAACTGTCACAATTAATCAATTGTCATATATATAATTTTCGTGATAGTTAAAATTGTCAATATAAAGGTTTTAATGACAGTTAAAAATTGTGAATATAAAGATTTTCATGACCGTTAAAACTATCACTATAAAAGTTTTCATGACAATTATAAATAGTCAGTGTTACGTTTTTCTTGACGTTTATCAACAGTCGTTAAAAAATATTTCGTGACATTTATAAAATGTCGTCATTACGTTTTATTGACAAGARAATAAAATATTTCATTGTTTTAGTGACAGTTATAAACTGTAATTAAATGAGTKTCTGTGACATTTATTAATTGTGATGGAAGATCTATTTGTGACAAAGTATAACTGTACTTGTAAATGCATTGATGACAATTTTTCAAATTTGGCATCTTCTCCTCTTTCTTGATGCCTTAATAGATGACAAAAAAAAACCCGTCATGAATTATGTTAATTAACTGTCACTGGAGCCCAAATTTCTACAAGTGTTTGTTTCTTTCAAGCACGACGTTTGTAGTTCGTGTTAACCTTTAGGAGACGAGAGAAAATAAAGAAAATGGCAAATAGGGTTTACGTCATCSCCTAAAGGGYCTCTTTCGAGATAAGGGTCTGRAGTCGTCACCAATGATCTATAAGGTGCGATTGGTCATCTAAAAGAAAAAAAAMATCTGCGAACAACAGATTTTTGTTCRAGAGTCGATTGAGAGGTATTAGAGCACCCTACAACACTAGTTCAAAAAATGGTTTGGAGAAGYRCAAAAATCTAGTCGGTCGGGACTTGGTCGGTCGGGACCTGGCTGGGGGCTTGGATCTAGCCACGCCCTAGATCTGTTCACACCTTGGGTCTATTCATGCTTTAGACATGGCCTGTCATGTCTAATTTTTTTTCTTCCCATACAATGCTCTAAATTAATAATTCTTCAAGAAGTAATTTTATTAAAAATAAAAYTTTTTTTTTCCAAAGTCATCAAACAAACSCATTAAAATAAGGCAGTTGGTAGGTTTATTTAAAAGAACATAAATGTAAAGTACATTATTATATCTAAAAGTCATTTAAAAATTATATTATAGCTGCTGGATGTTAATCATATTCATCCACAAGTCACAGCATAAGCTAATAGGTTCCAAGTATAAAACAACTATGAATAATTTATACCTAAATCTCATGACTTATTCAAGCCAGATTTATTTGTTGAGATGAAATTGAAAATTAGTATTACAAAATCTTCCTCCCAGGAAATTTTATTTATGCAACAACTTTGTTGGGTTACAAAGCATGTAAACAAAAAATAAAGGAACTTGATAAATATTAATAACAATGATGTGGGTAAGACGAGTGACAAAGTTGTCCGTTGATGTCTGASCTTATACACATCAACTCTAGATTTCTATTATTTTCATCCATTTCATGAATTTTTTTTCTAACTCTATAACTTCTCAAAATTTATTTAATTATTATGTTTTACCATATTTTTATTATAGGATTCCAAATAAAATTTTTTAGATATGTTACAAACTATATTACAAGAAAGTGATATATTTTTTCGATGGTTTTAAATATCATGAACACATTCAGTAACGTCCCTAAGCATTGACATTGTGGTTGGTAATAGTGATAGTTTGTTTGGTTGGAATCCAAGATTTATATAATGAGTATTTAGATTTCTAGTGTTTGTTTGGTAGGAATATAAAATATTTTGATTTTTTTTTAATTTGAGTTCAACCATATGTGAGAGTAGAGATTTGAAGATTTAACTTTTAGTCGATGATATGTTGTAGTCAAATTAAGTTATGTAATTCCAGTTCGTGAATAGTTAATCATTTTMAAAGATACCCATACAAAAAGCATGTAAGGAACTAGGGGATGATCTCTTAAATTTCCATGCATTTTTAACATTTCCATGTTAAAAACATSTTCGCATGACAATTTTTACCTTCATCTGTATAATATAGATATATATATACTTTCTTTCGTGAATTTCTTATAATTTATATTAAAARATAAATTAATGTATTTTTTTCACTAATAAAGGACTATAAGCAATTAATTATATTCATATATACATACATTGAGTGACCCTATAAACTTTCATAACCCAATGAAGTATAGAGCGATAGTCAATCAACTAGTCCATACATTATTTTACCTTTTAGGTTAGAGATTCAAATCAGGGTTGAATAAAAAAAAATAGTAAAGACACGACATATTCCTTCTCTAGAAGTTGAAAGTTCAATCTCTCGCCCCATTTGGTAACGTTTCCATTTTTATAGTATTGAGAAATTAAGCTTTATTTTCCTATGCTTTCAATAATTCTAGTAGGAACAAGAAATTAGCATCTATAGGCCCGTTTGGTATCGTTCTCATTTCTTGTTTCTATTTCCTCTTTTCAATAAAGAAAATAGAATTGCATAGCTCCCAAACCTCTCTGTTCAAGAATGATAAAACAAGGTAATTTCTGTTCGAACAAATTCATAGAAACGGGAACACAAAAAAATAAGTTAAACTTGTTTTTTGTTGTTTACAAAATTTCTGTACAATTTTCATAATGTTTATAAAAAATGAGAAACAAGAAATCTAAATAGTTGTCAAATGCTCATATTTCTTAATAAAATTAGAAACGGAGAACAAGAAACAATTCGTTACCAAACRCGACACAACATACTCAATAAAAGTCTGTAGGCTTACTGCCATTGAATGATCTAATTTATGCCTAATAATTCAAAATTGTGAAGAACAAGTGTCTTGATTCAATGTTACAACCCTCCTTATAAATAAGTGTCAAAACTTATATGCTTGGTAAGACATTAATCTTTGTTGAATTGAAGTTATAATCTATATTTCAAAGCAACACAATGTCTGATCTCTGTAGAAAATTGGAAGTCGATGTCGAAATCAAGGCCCCAGCTTGGAAGTTCCATGAATTAGTCCTCAAGAGACCACACCATATTTCCAATGTTTCTGGGGGCAACATACAAGGTTGTGAGCTCCATGAGGGTAATTGGGGCGAAGTGGGTTCTATCATCTCCTGGAACTACTTTCACGGTTTGTTTTCGTCAATTATTTTGTTCGTACTGTTTACTTTTTCTTAATATTCTCAAAATAAATTGGCTATGAAAGAAGTAGTTCAGGTATCGTAGATCTGTTTGGTAACGTTCTCATTTSTTATTTCTCGTTTCCAATTTTCTTAAGAAATCTAAGCAGTTTTCAACTAGCTATKKTTTCTTTGTCTTGTCACCACTTCCTCATCAAAGACCAAGACCAAGACCAAGTATTACCAATTCCCATCCAGAAAGCAAGTAATCTCCACTAGAGCGGGAATAATCTTGTTTCTCCCTTTTTTGGAAATATTTTTATAAATTTTGGAAACAACCTAAAACAGGTTTTCTCTTTTTGTGTTCCCATTTCCAATTTGTTTCAAATCATACGTAAAAAAAATATTTGTTGTATATCATACTTGAATTTATRGATGTTAGGGTCATACAATTCATTTTTCTTTACAAAAAAAATGAAGAAACAAGAAATAGAAGGATTACTAAACGAGGCCTTATAAACCTTATTAGATTCGTTGATCTAATGTATCTCATAAACAAGAAACGAGAATGGGTTTCTTGTTTCTTTTTTCCTCTTTTTTGACAAAGAAAAACAATAATTGTAGTTGTAAACTATTTCTTGTTCTTTATTATTTTTTTATTGAAAAAATAAAGAAAAACTTGATTTTGTTGGAAAAACAAGAACGTTACCGGACCATGTTCAAAGGAATATGAATCAATTAATGAGAATGAAATTACCTTTGAGGGTGTTTACTAGATTGTAGGATTAGAATCRGGACTCACTCGAAATCACTCTGTCTCTCTAAAAACAGATAATTTTTCATTCCTCTCGTGACCTAATCCATTTCATTCTCATTTCTTATTTCGTGCATCACACCTTTCCAATAACTATTTTACAACTTTTATAATTTATTTCTSATCTACGAACGATACCCATAAATCATGGCAACCGTACTATTAATTTGTAGTGTTAAAATTGTAGATGGAGAAGCTAAAGTAGGAAAGCATCTGATTGAAGCAGTAGATGAGGAGAAGAATATGATCACTTTCAAAGAAATAGAAGGAGACCAATTGAAGAATTATAAAAACTTCAAGTGTACTCTCCAAGCTATTCCAAAGGGCAAGGGAAGTGTGATTCACTATACTATAGAATATGAAAAATTGCAYGAAAATATTGGAGATTCACATTCCTTGCTTCAATTTCTCGCTGACACCGCCAAAGATATCGATGCGCACCTTATGGGAGGTAACTGAGAAACCGAAACCACTGATGGGAGGTCGGGTCTGATACCGATCGAGTATTGACWTCTACTATGCGTTATGTATGAACTCTATGTTTAAAATAATTGCTTGTAAGCAAAATGTTTTCTTTGTGCATGTTCTACGAAATCATGCATTGGAGAACTCATGGTTGTGAGATATTATGAATGTAAACCTACTTATAAATAATGGTGTGGGATAAAAACTACCTGAATTATGTTGAATTAGGTTACTTACTTTGGGGACGTTTGGATTGTGGGTTTTGTTTCAGGGTGAATATCTTCTGTGTTTGGATAATTAATAGAAATGGAGGTGGAATTTAATGGAGGATTGGGGTTTTGTTATTTATCATAATTTACACAACCAAAATATATATATATATATATATATATATAGTGGTAAGTTTTTCAATCTATGATCCATCACTCAAAAAAATGCTCTTTAAAATAATCCAAATCCATTCAGAACCTCCTCCCAACCCCAGGTTTTTAATAAATTTGGACAAAATAAGAAGAGATTTGAAAAAATATGAGCAGATGTACAAAAATCCCAGAGGAATATGAACAAAAAGTCAAGAAATGAAACAATAAATTAGAAAAGGTGGTTCTCCTATTTATTGCTTTTGTTTCTTTTTTTTAATAAAGAAAAAATAAAATGGGTATGCCCCAATAAAGAAATGATAAAATAATATTTTTATTTATGTTTTGGAATAAATTGGAAACGAAAGCTAAAAATAAGAAACATGTTTTTGTTGTCCTACCAATCTAATACAATTTTKAGAATGATTCTAAGAAATAGAAATAAATCAATTAAATAATTGTCAAAATACTTAAATTTATTAATAAAATTGAAAATGAAAAACTAGAAGTAGAAACGTTATCGGGCCTGATGTATTGGGAAAATGACTCATATGACCTTCTTAAGTTCCAATGTGCTCAAATAACCYACCCCTCAAAAATTGTTTTGAATGACCCAAATCTGCTTTTTCACAATTGTCAATAGAAGTAAATGTACCCAACTACCCCTCAAGTATAGCGTCAATTCTCGGGCTGAAACGTGATTTTCTCGGCCGTGAGCGTGAAAATGATAACTAATTCTCGGGCAAAATCGCATTTTTCCCGCCCGAAAATTGGCCAAAATGCTAATTTTTGGTTGTTTATGGGCGAGAATTGGCGAGAAGTTAGGTTGACTTACAATGAATTCTCGGGCGTTAACTGGTATTATTTCGCCCGAGAATTTAAGGTTTTCCAATTAMTCAAACAAYCATCTCTCATCTGTGCACTTTAGCAAACCAGTCTTCTTCATATGTGCACTTCATACTCAGCTTTGCAGATAACAAAAAGAATATTGTACATTGAAAGTAACTCTTCCATCTGACCACACAGTTTGTTTGTAACTGAGTAAGATTTCTATACAAACGAGGTAGGTGAAATGTCATTTACAAAGAATGRTCTATTTTTGTGTTTTTCGTCTCTGAAGTCGCACATTTATATGTCTACCCTTTGGTTTTTTGTTTATTTGGAAACGTTTGAGTGCATCTTTGTGGTTTTTATTCTTCCTTAKAGAACGACATGTTTGGGGCATGTACTGTCTGTATTTTTCCATGTTTGAAAGTAACTCTTCCATCTGACCACACAGTTTGTTTGTAGCTGAATAAGATTTCTACACAAACGAGGTAGGTGAAATGTCATTTACAAAGAATGGTCTATTTTTGTGTTTTTCGTCTCTGAAGTCGCACATTTATATGTCTACCCTTTTGTTTTTTGTTTATTTGGAAACGTTTGAGTGCATCTTTGTAGTTTTTATTCTTCCTTAGAGAACGACATGTTTGGGGCATGTACTGTCTGTATTTTTCCATGATTCTCGGGCGAAGTTAGGGTTATTCACGGTCGAAAATGACAATATAATATGAGTTTCGGGCGAGAATCATATTGTATACGGGCGTGAATTCTYGCCCGAACAACAATAACTTCCGCCCGAGAACGTYAAAAATTTTGAATTTYGAATTTTGAATTCTTCTCTTTCCACATGCAGGATGCCTTGCCTATTTGTTAGCTATGGTGGTAGTTGGAATGAGTCACAATTTCTATATGAAGGTGGAATTATGGGAGGTTTGGATGTGGACGACTCTATAACTTATGAGGAGCTCTTTAGTGCTATGTTCAGCCTTACCCGAATAGATCCGGATCAGTTCAAAATCTTGAGACACTGTGTATATAAGTTCAATCTGCAGTACCAGGTTCCGAAGTATTACGTCTTTGATGACCATAGCCTTAGATTTTTTTTAAGAGGCCCTCCACATCCCTCCGAAGTCCCATTGTATGTATGAATCGTAACATTCCAGAAGCAAAAACATTCCAATCATTTCCCCACCAGTTAGGGCAGACCGTTCTGTATTATGCTCCATCGTTTCCTTTTGATTCCACGCTCCCAGACCTATCATACTGAATTCGAGGATGATGTTGATTTTGACAACGAGGAGGAAGTAGACCCAGTGGATGTAGCCGGTCCATCATCGAACCCCTCGACCGAAGTGCACGTGGTCAGTACGAATGCACCGTGCGCAACCGGTCAAGCTTCTTGCTCAAGGGAAATTGTTAGGACAGGTGATGAAGTTTGTTCGTCAACAGAGGACATTGCGGTAGGGAGTACTTTTCGATCGAAAGAAGATTTGCAGTTCAAACTCTCGGTGTACGCAATGAAGATGAATTTTGAATATCGTGTGAAGAAGTCGACAAAAAGTTTGTACACTGTCGGATGCACCGAGGATGGGTGCAAATGAAGCCTACGTTCAAGGAAAATTAAAGGTTCAGATACTTTTCTTATCTCTACATTCTATGAGGTTCACAGTTGCACTCGTGAGGTAATGAAACATGACCACCGGCAAGCTCGAAGTCGTGTGGTGGGTCAGATTATAAAGTCCACATTTGAGGATGTAAGTCGACGTTATARACCGAAGGATATTGTTAATGACATGTGGAAAAATTACGATGTTAACATTCGATATGAAAAGGCATGGCATGGGAGAGAGAGGGCTTTGGAACTACTAATGGGATCGCCGAAGAAGTCGTACACTCTTTTGCGTAAATACGGTGAGGCATTGAAATCGGTGAACCCGGGCACGGTATTTTCATTCAAGTTAGAGGACGATAAATATTTCCAATATGCATTCATGGCCTTAGGCTGCTCTATCTGGGGGTTTAGAAGTTGCATTCGCGCCGTACTTGTCATCGACGGTGCACATCTGAAGGGAAAAATATAAAGGTGTGATATTGATAGCCTCCTTTGTTGATGGTAATAATAAGATATATCCACTTGCATTTAGAATCGTAGACTGGGAAACAGACTAGTCTTGGACTTGGTTCTTGGAGCGGGTGAAGAGTTGTATTGGAGATGTTGAAGGATTGGTGTTCATGTCTGACTGGCACCGA